ATACCTGATGTAAGTTCCATTTTTAAGATTCAGAAAATGGAGGCACTGGTGCCACACACCTATGATCCCAGCACTCAGGAAGCTGAGGCAAAAGCATCTCTGAGTTCAAAACCAGCCTAAATTATATAGTGAGACCCTGTCTGAAAAAGAAATCATCCAACCAAACCATAGGAAAAAGTCAAATTGTTTTCTGTTTGCCCCAGTATTCCTTGGATATGTTTTGAAATGTATAAAAATTGAAGAAAAAGATCTAGGTTATGTGCATATTAAAAGTAAAATGTTTTCCCTTTCCTTATCTAGCAATGTTATATAAAACTTCAGAAATTCTTTTTAACCTGGGGTTTGAACCTTAGGCCTTATACATGATAGGCAATCTGTCTGCTGTGGAGCTGCATCCTTAGTCCTAAAACAATTTAATTTTAGCATAAAAGATTAATTTCCTGATGCATATTCTCAGTACTTTTTTTTTAATGAGTGGATTTTTGACAGTGGCCTAATCATTTGAGTTTCTTAGTATCTATTAATATTTTACATAGTAGATTTTTGTTTGTGTGTAGCCATATTTGTTAGTATTTATGGATGCTCAGTTTTTTCATCTTTCTCATCTTCTTCCTATTTTTTATGTTGTTTCTTAAGTAAAGGAAGTGAATGAATGCCATTTATTACCTGAAACATTTTAAAATGGTAGATGTAATGTTTTAAATTTTATTTTTAGAAACATTGAAAGGTTGAATTTTGTTACTTGCTAGTACTTAACAATTTTTTTTAAAGAATTATATTTTTAAAGTGGACTTCAGTATTCCATATTATTATTTTTAGCATTTGTTTTTATTTTTGGTACTGGGCATCAAACTTAAGACCTCACACTTGCCAGGCAGGCACTTACACCTCTCAGCTAAATACCTGTCCCTAGCATTTGTTTTTTTGAAATATAGAATGTAAATAGCATATAGCGATCCCTAGATAAGCTTAGAAGTTTCCTTCTTGGTAAGTATGAGGGCTCTTTCTGAATAAAGAAAAGCATTGATCATGGCCAATAAAACTTCATTCATCCAAACAAAAACTTATCTTGAAATACTTGATGTGACTCACCTTAAGATGCTGTTCTGGTTGATTGTTCAGCTAGTTTTCATTTAGTTCATGTAACCTAATGTTTAATTATTCATGTAATCCTTTATTTTTACCATATGTGAGTATTGTGAATTACTGTTACTACTAGTTTTTGGTACTGGCAGTTAAACTCAGTACCTTGCACTTGCCAAGGAGGTGCTGTGCTATCTCCCTGGCCCAGTATTATGAAAACTTAAAAAATTGTTGACCTTAAGAAAAATGTAACTTGCTGGGGATTTAGTTCAGTGGCATAAGCGCCTGCCTTGCAAGCAGGCAGTTGTGAGTTCAATCCCCGGTACCGATAAAAAGGAAAAAGACAAAAAAAAAAAAAGAAAAATGTAACTTTATTTTTTATTTTGTTGGCGGTACCAGGGATTGAACTCACAACCTCGCGTTTGCCAGGCAGGCGCTTATGCTGCTGAGCTAAATCCCCAGCTCAAAAAAAATGTAACTTTAAATAAAAATGTACACAATACACTTAAATACAATTTAAAGTCACAGATTAATTTCCTAAATATTAAAGCAAAAATACCCTTATTATTCAAGAAGTATCAGATACCAGTAGTGACATATTTACTGCACTTGGAGAAATGTATTTACAGTAGTACACATTACTGCTGTTTTAAGTTTTGATTTTAAAAGTTACTGGGAGTTTACTGATTCATAGATTAAATGACTGGTCAATTTGAAAGGAAGTCTCAGTATGTACTTCTAAACTCTCAGTGCTCCCCCTCCCTAAACCTCCTGAGTGGGGATTGTAGGTGTGTGACCTCACACTTGACCTTGAGTGAAATTGTAAGACATTCTCAATGTTTGGGGCTTTTAGATTCCTCTGCACTGCATAAAATTACCAAGGACTCCAGAGAGCTTTTTAAAAGTTATATTAGTATTTACTGTATTGAATTTTTTTTTTCCAGTGCCAGGAATTAAACTCAGGATCTTGTACTTGCCAGGCAGGCGCTTATGCCACGGAACTGTATCCCAGCACTTTGCTATATTGAAATTAAATCAAAATATTAAAAAAAAGTGTAGTGGCCAGGGGTTTAGCTCAGTGGCATAAGTGCCTCCCTGGCAAGTGTGAGGTCATGAGTTCGATCCCTGGTACCAAAAAAAAAATGTCATGAAAGAATGGCCTTAATATATATGTATACAAGTGTCTTTAATGATCCACTTTGATATAGTTCGAGAAATAGTATTATTTTTTGTTTTTAAATTAGTTTATTGTTTTCACCTGTGGAGGTCACTTGTCTTATCAGGTCTTGTGGTACATACCTGTAATTTCAGCCCTTGAGAGGCTAAGGTAGGAGGATTACCATAAGTATGAGGCCAGCTGAGTTACATAGTGAGTTCAAGTCCAGCCTGAACTACCTAGCAGTAGCCAGTCTCAACAACAACAACAAAATCTGTTATTGGCTTCTGCATTTCTATGTTAGACCCCTTGCTCAAAATTCATGAAAGTACTTTTCATGGATAAATGATAAAGAAACTAGTATATTAGTAATCTCAAGTAATTGCAGAGATAGTTTGATAAAGTGGTAATCTGTCAAAGTATTCTTTTGGATTAAAATCATTTGGTCTGCCTTGAATTTTAAGTGGATTTACTTAGGTATAATTTGGCAATGCCGTGTACTAATTAGAACATAAGTGAATCCCTGATTTAAATATATGCTTTGTTAGATCATCTCACACAATTAAGAAAGAATCTTTCTCTTTTTCTCTCTCTGTTTTTGAGACATGATCTCCCTATGCAATTCAAACTGGCCTTGAACTCATTTTGTAGCTCAGTTTGACCTTGAGCTTGCAATGATCCTCCTACCTCAGCCTCCTGAGTGCTGGGATTACAGGCATGCACCACTACCTCAGTAATGATTAGCAATTGCACCCCAAACCTTTCATAAATGAGCGCAAGTCTGACATGAAAAATGTAAATTGTAAATGTAAATACTGCCTCCCTAAAAATGATCATGAGTCATGTATTTACTCTTAGTTGCTAAATAAGGGTGTAAATTTTCTGCATCTACATGTGGTGATGCATTTTTCCATGGTGTAAGTAGATCCTAAGTTAGGAGGAGTAAATTGCAATTTGATTTGTTTGTGTTACTAATAATGATTATTTTTAAGTATAATACGAACATAAAGTACTTGCTTACTAGTCTTGTACTCTACTTGTTTTGCAGGTAAGTATTAGCATTTGTGCCTTTGCCATGCTGCACACATAGATTCCTGGCTGCTCAGGAGGCTGGGCCATGAAAATCACACATTTGAGGCCAGCCTGGGTTTTTAGTGAGAGACTCTCTCAAAATAAAAACGAGTAAATACTGGCATTGTAACTCAGTGTGAAGGCCTTTGGTGCTGTCCCCAGTACCACAGATACATGGTGGTTAGGTGGGTGGATGGATGGATGGATAAGCAGAAAAAAATTAGAAGGGGTAGATGTGAGGCTTAGTGGTATAGCTCTTGGGTGTCATGCTTGATACCTTGGATTCAATCCTTAGTATTTGGTGGTGGCGCGGGGGCAAGGGGAATTATTAGTAGCCAAGAGTTTTATGAGAAGAAACAAACTTATTTCATAAAACTTAAAAAAAAGCATTTAGAAAGGTTTGACATTTAAATTTTGTTAATGATATGATTAAACATTTTATTCTTCATGGTGTTTCTTTTCGAACTTCATATATTGCAACATAGCTTTGTTAAATATTACTTTTTGATTATCTCTTTTTAGTTTAAATGGATGGTGTTGAAAAAAAATTTTTAAAGAGTCATTTCCTGCTTAGTGACCATTATATAGTATTTCAATCACAGGCTTGTTTTTAGGATTGTATGTACTTTTCATTCTTTTTTTGTATCATTAAATGGAATTGTAAGTTAACTTTTAGCTTTTAATACATAGCGTTAATAACTTTTTGCTTTCTTGAGATTTAAATATTGCTGTCTTAGCCTTAGAATTTTACCTCTTATTACTATATTTTTAACACAGTTGATACTTGAAATGGTCATCAAAACAAGTTTTGCAATTTTAGGCAAACATTCTACAGTTGAGTTATGTCTTTACCCTAGAAAATTGCAATTTTCGAATGTTATTTGGGGACTGGGAATGTAGCTCAGGAGTAGGATACTTGTCTACCATGTGCAAGGCCATGAGTTCTGTCCACAGCACTGTATGCACAAGTAAGTAAAGGAAGTAAGTAAATATATAAAAGTTACTTAGTAATTTTACCTGAGGTTTTGTTGATGTTAACAGAACGGTTATTAGTAAATTAATTGTTCTTAAAGAGTAGTTTCCCTAATTAATGCTCAAAGGTTTTTAACACTTGTGTGTTACAGAAAATTTAAGTAGTGCTTTGTTTCAGAAATTGTCACACTTGCATTCAGGTATTAGGTACAACATTGCTTATCTAAAGAAAAGCAGATTTCTGTCAAAATTCAGTAACTTGGTTGTTCTAACTGTAGACTTAAACATACTTGTGATCTCTGGGTTGAAGGAAACTTTAATAAAGAATGAATTTTAATACATGGATAGTGAAAATTATGTGTGATTTTATCTATTTTGACACTTCTATAACGTAAGAGGAAAAATAATTGATACCATTTGTCACTGGATTTTTCTTTGAATTCCTGCTGTGCGCCTTTGATGAAATAGAAACATTAAGAAATAATTGTGATAGAATTAATGTAATCTGCTTCATGGATAATCTTGCAATATAAACTCGTATTCTAAACATAGTATATTAAGTTTGGAGGACTGAAAATCTTTCTGTTGAGTAAATGATGGAAAATATCAAAATTTTTAATGGGAAGTGGTGTTCCAATTCATTCTTTTCTTTTGATTTTAGATGGGAAATATAAAGTCATATTGATAGGTTGACTGTGACAACTATGTTTATTTACAGAGAGAACAGGAAATGAGAATGGGTGATATGGGTCCCCGTGGAGCAATAAACATGGGAGGTAGGGATTTGAAGCAAAAGCCTTCTGTAACTTACTTGTAATTCTTTGGGATACTGTAAATGCTATTTGTGGTATTTACATATCAATAAGAGACTTAAAATACAGAGCCAACACTTGTGAAGGTGAAGTATTTTCCATTTATTAAGGTGAAATATAATTGCATTAATAACAGATGCCAGGGAAGGAAAGTTCAAAGGTATATGTTACACTTTTATAGAGAGCTTCAGTGAAAGAAATCTGTAAATTTCTAATACAGCCTAAAAGTAGTTCAGCCATTATATGACATAATACAATTCTATTGTATTTTTATAGTCAAATTTTGTGCCTTTAAATTACAATTTTAGTATGGAAAATGATAACTTTTGGCTTTTAAACTTCTTGACATTTTACAAATTTGCTCTAAAGTAGCCTTTTATTTATGTTACTTAATATTCAGGTTTAAATATGTAGGGAAATCTACTACCTAGAGAGTTCTATAACTTCAGGAAGTGAAATGTAGGTTGCTATTGCATATTTTTACAGTTCATATAAAGTATTTAAGAAAGTGCCTACATTAATAACTTGAATGTTGATTGACTTCTATGTCTATATTAAGGGGAAATTGGAATTAGTAAGTAAATAAGTGGAGAGTCATCAACATGGGTCTTCAGTTTGAAGTTTAAAATGCCATACATTGAAACAGGGAATAGCAATTGTTGAAAAGTTAAACTCTTCATATACCACAGATGTACATAGTACTTTGAAAATATTGCTAGTACATCCAATGTACATGATATCTACACTCATCTAGTGAATTCTTCAACTGCATAATATCTGTAATAAAATTTAAAAGATAGAGTGAACATTTTCTTAAATGTCAGACATCAGTTTTTTGAAACTTTTTTTTTTTTTTTTGTCTTTTTCATTTTTATCGGTACCAGGGATTGAACTCATGACCGCCTGCCTGCAAGGCAGGTGCTTATGCCGCTGAGCTAAATCCCCAGCCCTAGTTTTTTGAAACTTTTTAATCACATGTCTAGAATAACTTATGTCTGTTTCTTTGATTTATTTCCTTATCTACCAACAAGTAGTTAATAAATAGCTTTGTGTGTCAAGGAAATCCGGAACATTTCCCTTGCCCATATTGAACTTAGATCGTTCACATGGGTATGTGAAATCATTAGTAAAGAAAGACTATAAATTTTAAACATGAAGCATAGTTGAATATATAATAATTAGCAGTGTTTCTATATTTTTTTCAGCGTAAATTATGTTTTCCTAAGTGAAAACATAATTTCTATGTGAGTTTTAAGAACTATAGGAATTAAATTATTGTGGATTTTAAATAGTGTGAAAGGAACATTTCAATCATTAGGTTGTTGTTAATATTGGAACCAAACTTTAGAAAAGTATAATGCATAAAACCATTTCTCAAGGTCCAGAAAGATTGTGAAAATATTCTTTTGAGTTGATTAGCAACTTTATAAGGATATCCCTTTAAATGCTTTATTTAGGAATTCAAGAGAATTTTAAACATTTTGTGGCATTTTCACTAGAAACCCACATTTACATTTTGAATACCTACTTCCTAAAGTCTAATCCATTTAATAATGTTATTTTCTTTTGTCTTCATTTAATATATAAGGCTTTAATGGTTTCTTGGAATTGTTCAGTTGAGTTACTGTTGAGTAGATAAAACTGATCTATCTCTTCAAGTTAGTGTTGGAACCAGGCTTGTAGCTCAGTGCTAAAGCATGTGCTTCCTTGGATTTGATCTCCAGCATAAAAATAAAACATGACAAATTCTATTGATGGAATATAGCAGTCAATTTTCTGATTCATCACTAGTGTGTATGCCAAGTAAAACATCGATCATAAAGCCAGATAATGCCAAGATTTCTTAGGTCTTTACATCTCATTTACAGTTTAGTGGTTGAAGATATCATTTAAAAATGGCTGATAGTTGGCAATATTACTGATCTTTTTTTAGTATACATAGTTTCATAGTTATAGTCCACACTCACAAGTTAAGTGTAGCAAGTCTGATGAAATAATACAAGAAAAAAATACTTTTTTTTTTTTTTTGAAAAAAATACTATTAACCTGCTCTTTTTGGAGACTGTAGAGGAAAGATAGCTGTTAGATAGTGTCTTCAATCCTACTTCATTTCTAAATTACAGAAACTTGTTAAAATGACAGTGTAACTATCCCAAATGAATAGAAACATTCTTGGATGAAGTATAGATTTATCATCATGAACATTTTGGAATTAAGGAAATAATTCCTTTGACAAGTTGTTTTGTATGATGGGCTTTGAGGCCTAAGAGTGTGATGCTGACGATCATTATGGAGTAAGACTGGTCAGCTACTCATAAAGAGCTACTTAATAGAGATAGTTGTGTCATAGCTATTCTGTAGTGGATTTTAATGAAAACTTCAGCTCCTTTTATAATGTATATTTACGAAATTGAATTCTGAGGGTCAGGAAATTGGATCTACATAATGAAAATTGAGCTAGTAAGTGTTCCAGCTGAACCCTAAGAGATAAATGAATATCTTCTTTGATGAAAAAATTTGATGCATTTCTGATTATCCTTATTTCCAAAATTTTGTGTATCAGAAACATCCAGTGTTATCTGTATTTTTGTGCTGTTTTTAAAAATAAGCTTTAACGATGAGTCATTTTTATTTGATGAGTTTTATTTCAGGAGTTTAGATTGCATATTTTAGTAGAATGTTTAAAAAGTAGTACTTGGTAATTTCGTGTTATATTTAGTAACTATGTAAAAGTGAAGAGTTTACTGCAGTGGTGCTTTTAGGAAGTGGCTTTCCTCCTTACAGCTAATCTAATTTTCCTGGTAATATTTTTGAAGTGCTAATCCTCTTGTTTATTGAAGTCAGAATTGTTGGTTAATGAAATTTTGCCTTGTGTGGTTGTGCACACTTTCTAATCATAACACTTGGGAAGCTGAGGCAGAGGATCACCTTGAGTTGTAGGTCAATCTGAATTACCAAAACCAAATGAAGAAAACCAAACCAAAATTAAATTGCTATAAGTAGACTACTAAATAATACTGATCTTTAAAACTTTCAAATTGTTACATTCTCAAATGCCATAAAATAATTGATAGTTGACTGATTTCTTTTATGTATGTGTATTTTGGGGATGAAAATTTTAGCATGTAGGAAGTGCTGTATTGTACAGTCAATTACTTCATTCTCAAGGAAAATGATTTTGATAATAGTTTTGGAGTATAAGATTGTGTAAGTTCTGTAAAGTTTTTAATGTTTATTAAACTAAGATAGGCCAGCTCTAAGTATAGATTGTTTTACATAGATGCATTTAGCCCAGCACCTGCTGGTAACCAAGGTCCTCCTCCAATGATGGGTATGAATATGAACAACAGAGGAACTATACCTGGCCCACCTATGGGTCCTGGTCCTGCCATGGGACCAGAAGGAGCTGCAAATCTGGGAACTCCAATGATGCCAGATAATGGAGCAGTGGTAATGTATCATAAACATTATTTTGATTATATTCAATAATGTACACTTGTGCCCTAGAGATACCTTCACACTTTACCTGATTTGACATTTGTTTTGGCAAGAAATACCTAGTGGAAAAAAAAATCACTTGGTGAACTTATGTTTAGATTTAGGAGAGACGGTCTTTAGTCCGTGGATTGCCATACATGGCATGCTCTTGGATCTCCGTACATAGCACATACTTGACAGACTTTTGTTTTTCAGTACTTCTAATTTGTAGCCAACACCTATATTACTGTAATGGTTGAATATTTTATGTTTGTGTTCTTTCTCTATATGGACTTCTTTTGGTGGGGATGAAACTCCAGTACATGTGAAAACAGTTTTCAGTAACATTTTTTGATAGAACAGTCTCTTGTCATGATACCAAAATATGTTTTTCATTGTAAAGGATATATTCTAAACTTACATTACTGTATTTCAATTACTATTTGTTACTAAATTGAGATGTTTATATTTATTTATTTGCCGTGTTCTGAAAGTGTGAAGATATCTTTGGGTAAAATATAAAAGCAAGGATTTTCAGGGGTTTTATATATTCAGTATCAGCAAGTCCAGGATCTTTTTTTATTATTCTTCAATGAGGCCTTACAATGGCAAAACATTTTCTCATGGTGTTTGTCTATGATTGTTCTAAATGATAGAAGGAAAATTGTTGGCCATATATTTTGAAAGGACAATTTGATTTGGTGACTACCATATGAAATGTTTGAGGCACCACTGCTGCTAAGATGAAAAACACTGCCAATTAATCTCAGGCATGCTCTCGTTATTAAATCTGTGTGGCTTTCAAAGGCTTTAAAATTAAAATTCTGTGGACTAGAGATGTAGCTCTTTCATAAGTCACTTTACTAGTGTGTGCAAGGTCAACAGAGAGGAGGAGAAGTGGGGAGAGAAGACATTGTGCATCTTAGAACTGAGGAATGCACTGTGTATCATTTTTAGTTATTTAATTGAGATAGTCTTTAAAATTTAGCAAAATTTTACATACTGTCAGTTGCAATTTTAAAGATAATAGTTTGTTCAGCAAAATAAGACAGTGTCAGCATGCAATGAACAGATGGCACCTATGTTTTATAGAGTAAAATGTCTAAAGCTCAATTAAAATTAGTTGGTTAAGTTTTTCTTTAGTCTGTAACTTTCAGTAGAATAATAATGTTAATGGTTTCTTACCCTGAAATTGTAAACTTTATTTAAATATCACCCTTGAGACTTTTTTGTGCTTACCATTTACTCTATTGCACTTAAGAAACTCTGTTTAATCCTTGAGATTAATATATGGGTCATTATTGTAAAGTTTTCAAAATGAGTCTTCATGTTTAATTCTGCTATTCATAGTATATATTAGTCAACTTTAAACTTTTATCTTCCTAATACTAGTTTTTTAGTGAAAACACCTCGCAAGTTTTTATTTTGAAATCATAGTTCTTTGCTTATATGTAGACTATTGCTTCATGTCTTGATTTTAGAATGTTTGGTTTATAAAACAATGTAATGCTGCTCCCTAGTTTTATCTCTCTAATTTTTAGTGAAGTATTTATCTTTCACAGTGTAAGATAGACTTTAAAAAAAGGGAACAGTAATATAATACTGATTAGGCTTAAGATGGCATTTGCTTATGTCATACAGTCATTTCTTATTTTTCATGAACTTGGGGCATAGCATTAGCAATTTGTAAATCTTCAGATGCTGCTTTTTTGTTTTTAAACATAGTAACTAATTAAATTGCTCCTTTCTTCCTTCTATGTGTGATCCTGATTCTGCTGGACTTTCTGCTGAACTTCATGACACCACCACTTGGGATTTTGCCAATTTTTCTTGTCACTTATGTTTGGTGTGTTCCAAATGGACTTCATGTTTGTTATGTGGTATTCTAGCACAATGACAGATTCTCCCAAGGGCCACCTTCCCAGATGGGATCTCCTATGGGGAGTAGAGCAGGTTCTGAGACCCCTCAAGCGCCAATTACTGGTGTTGGTCCTGTGAGTGGTGGTCCTGGTGGCTTTGGTAGAGGTAGTCAAGGGGGCAACTTCGAAGGTCCTAATAAGCGTCGTAGGTATTAAACATTCTTTTGTTCCTGGTCATTTAGAAACAAAATTTAGTGGTATGCCTTTACAATTTTACCTGTTACTTGGAAGAAATAGTTTTATTGTTAATGTGTGTAGATTGAAAACTTTCTTTTGTAAAAACTGAGGTTTTTGTATTTTTGTTTATTCATAAGCTTTGTAGATTAGAATGGTAATGCTATGCATCATTGTGAATGTTAAAATGTGTTTGTGACTTGAGCTAACTACAGCTATGCCCATAGTACTGTGAAATCTGTAGTTTCTTTATCAATAAAGAAATGATTTTGAGTAATTTAAGATGTTATTAGTGGTATTCTCTTACCGTTTTACTAAACTTTGCTGTAACAAGAATTACTTGGTTGCTTTAACTAATCCCAGCCATTTAAAATTGAAAATAGTAATTTTTCTTTTTCTTTTTTTTTTTTTTTTCTTGTGCAAGTAGCTCTGAAGATAGAAACTTAGTGAAAGCTAATAGTGAAAGCTAATGTCAATACAGATGAGTATATTTGGGGGTGGGAGTGCATGGGAGTTTTAATTTGTATAACCCATTGATGTTTTGTGAAACTGGAGTTGCTGCCTACGTTTCATAAAGATTCTGACTATTCAGATATTCTGAAAAGAATCAATAAGGGTATCTTTGTCCTGTGCTGCTTTTTCCAAATAAATCTTTTGAATCTCAAAAAAAAAAAAAACTGTTTGAGGGCAAATCTCTTTTGCTTATAAAACATCAGTTTTTAATTTTATCTTGTAGCGTTTGTTTGGTTTCAATATGTAGATCTCACCTCAATTACTATTATACACCTAATGTTGAATTTTTTAAAAAACAGTACTCTTGGATTGATAGTTAAGGGAAGATTTGCTGGGTGGTCCATGGTTAATTAGGTACTTCTGGAGAATGTTGGTTTGTATAATAATATTAAAAGGATGACTTCACTGCAGTGTTAACTGTTTCTCTATAGTTGTAATTCTCTTTAGTAAAATCTGTCTGTTAGAAATGTTTATAATTGAAGTGTTGATTTTTAAAAGGAAGAGAACGAACTTTAGAATGATAGGGTCAGTTAAATCTGATTAGATTCCTGTTCTGTCCCGTACCTAGTTTGAATTTCAGTGCTTGAGAAAATAATTTCATCGTGTTAGGACATTTATTCTAAAAGTCATAGATATATTTGGAAATTTGTATGTTGTCTGCATTTGTTTAAAATTACATTAAAAATTACAAAATCTGGTATTTAACTTACACTTCAAAGGTAATACACCAGCCACTTGTCATAGCATTTACTCCTCACCCAGTTCGTGTGTTAACACAGCATCCTTTTACCATCTTTCTGAAAAATATGGTGTTTTAAAGTAAACTGTATATAAATGGTGCCTTCAGTATTTCCATGGTCTTTGTTTTGATGGAAAGCATATCTATGAAAGAAACAGCTTTGGTTAATTAAACTTCAAAAGCAGTTGATTAAAAAACATAATTAAGTGCATTTTTCTACCACATTATTTTTCATATGTTTTGTTTCATGCTATACTTTTTGGACACTACGTGTTCATGGAATTATACTTTAAATTTTGCAGTATTCATATGCTTTGGTTTTGATACTTCTTTGAAAACATTTGGGGATTGTAAGATGTTAGTCAAGGACTGTTACTGCATTTTTCATGAGTATAAGGTGGTGGGGACTTGGATTTGTTATGAAATTAATTGGGGTTTGAAGTACTTACTTGAAAATTAATTGAAATTTTAAGTGGTATTGCTTTTAAATCTACTTTTTCTATCTGTGTTTTATTCATCTGATACTCTGATAATTTTAGAAACTGTTGCATTCAAGGCTGAATTCAGATTGAGGAGACATTTGATCCTTTGATGTTAATAACAAGCTACCTTTCAGCAAGGCTATGAAATTCTGTATCATTCATTCAAGGACATTTGAAAGCCAGTGCACAGAGATGTGTTAATCTCCTGAACATCCTAGTGTCCGGGTTCAACTCTGGCTCCAAGAACAGTTCTACACAGCTTTTTCTCTGCATCAAGAAAATTCTTGTTCCAGTATTTATCAAGTTTATCCTGGAAACAGTCAGCTTCTGAGTGAGAGTCAAGTGGACCATCTGTGAACTTCTTACTCAGTTGTTAAGGCTTTTGTGTAAACATCTGTGACTGGTCTGCTCAATATTTTTCTTGTGAATTAGTACACTGATGAACATTTTTGTCATTTGTTTAAAAATGGTAGATATAACACTGAAGAGAAAATTCAGTAGTTAGGTTTCTGAGTAAATTTGAAGTTGTCTTATGTGCTATCACAAATTTTCAGAAAAGATAATATGAAACAATTTCAATATTCTCACAGTCTTCTGGAGTTTTTTTGTTGTTGTTGGTTTTGTTTGTTGGTTTTGTTTAGTGTGTATGTCATTTAAAATCTAAGTACCAGGTTTAAAAGTAAAAGTCTGCAGGTTTTAGGTTTATTATATTTTTTATAGTTAATGTGAATTAAAAATCCATTTTCTTAATTATCTTAACCTAACATTGTAATTTGTTGGAATTGTTCCTTTTAATTTTATAAGCATACTCATTGATTTCTTTGACAAATCCACTATCCTACCTGGTCATTTTAACTGAAATTGGAATTATCAGCAACAGTGATTGAAGCCTTGGCTTTTGTTTCTCAAACAGTAATTATACCTTTACAGTTTGTAATATAACTTGTTGAATATTTCAGTAACTTCCTATTTGCATGGAAAATATGTAACAGTTGCTTAATATCAGTGTGAGTGACTAATAGTCACTGATTAATAAACCATTGATTTTGAATAAGATTTAAATGGATTGAAATGATGTGAGAGGGAATGTGATATGGCAGAAACTTTAGAATGGTAGAAATTGAGTGTCAAAAGGTACTAGTCAGAAATAAAAAGGCCATTTCATTTTGAACAAATATAGAGAGTTTACTGGGGAGTGGGATGCATTAATTTTAAACACTTTTGTATGTTGTTCTGATACAACATCAAATAGTAAAATACATTCCTGATTTACTTTTAGAGGCTAGCAGTGGTTTCAAAGATGAGGATTCTTTTAAGAATAATGCATTGAATACTTGTATCCTAGAATAACATGTGTTAATGTTTTCCATTATTTATTTCTATTAGTTATTTATAGGCATGGGCTTTTTAAGGAGTGGAAAATTTACTTCAAGGAACATTCCAGAATACTTGTAAATATTTCAACACACAGCTCTTAAAAAGAGCAATATTGAGCTCAGTTTTATAGCCAAGGATATTAATTCCTACATACTTCATTAAATATAAAGCACGTCCTAAGTTATATAGCCAAGTATAGGTTTATTTTATCACAAGATAATCATATGATTAAATAAAATAGCAGAAGTCTTGTCCATTATAAAAACGTTCTTTTATTTCTGAGAGCTTGCATTAGTAAGTTTTAAAAGTAGGACTTGTTTTTTTTTTTTTTTTTTTGAGTACGAGGGATCAAACATGACCTTGTGCTTGCCAGGTAGGTGCTTACGCCGCTGAGCTAAATCCCTTGTACCTGGGACTTTTTGTATGTTCACATTATCCATTTTCCCCAGCTGTATAGAGCAAAGTATTGTGTACCGCTTCCCACATGAATTTTTCATCAGATAACTTACAAACATTTACTCTGTGGAATAAAGAACAATTGAAGAAATTTCTACATTTAATCTTTTAAACCATGGATTTACATATTAGATATTTCAATCACCTTTTGAAACTATCAACAGCAGCATCTTAGCCAGGTATTGTGACCCACAACTGTGATCCCAGCATTTGAGAATATGAGGTAGGAGTATCACGTGGAGTTCAAGGCCAGCCTGGACTACATGCAGAGACCCTGTCTCCAAACATAAGAGCAAAACCCAGCACCATCTTCTGTGTTATAAAAACATTTTAGCCCCCCCCCATTTATTGAAAAAAAAAAAACATTAATGACTGAAGAGCAAAACATTTAAGACACCATTTCCAGATGACTGTTAGCACTTTTAAGATTTTGTTTACTCTTTATCTTTTTCTGTAATACCATGTTTATGTTATAAATATATCTAGGTTTCTTTGTAGAAAATTATTTGATGTTTTCATTTATATGGTGAAGGCAGCAATGTGTATAGTAGTTTCTCTGTTGGTTTTTTTGTTTTCCCTTTGAATACCAGAAGCCGGCTCCAGATTGAGGATAGTGCACTTCTTCATGTTCACATATGTATATTGAAGAAAATTCTTCAAGTTTATTGGTTTAGGACTTAAATACCTATTATTGGTACTAACTCCCTTCTCTGCAACAGATACTTTTTTTTTTAGTATAAATAGAATCTTAAGAATTAGTTTTTTGGTTTGTCTTTTTGGTTTAAAGACAAGATTTAGAAAAGATGGTTTTGTGCTTTACTGTACGTAAAATTGTAATGAATAGTACTATAAACTTTTACATTTCCTTTGGGTTACTTCAGACCCTAAGTTAAGATATAATAGTAGAATTGGGAAGATAAAGTGTAAATGGGGCTGAGGATTTAGCTCAAGTGCTTGCCTGTTAAACGTGAGATCATGAGTTCAATCCCCAGTTTAAAAAAAAAAAAAGAATAAAATGGAAGTGCACTGAGTTTTAAGTCCTTGGCTGTTTGCTTTTTATTTTCCCATATTTTAAAATAAATGCAGTCAATTGTTTTTTAGTTACTCATTATGTCAGTTACTCCTGCCTTGTATCAGTAGTAATATGAATGAACCATATCTATATACCGATATATATCAGTTGTTTGTTTTGTTTTCTTTGCAGTATTGGGGATTGAACAGAGGATCCCACACATCTGGACAGTTGCTTCAATGCTGAGCTATATTCTATCCCCACCCCTTTTATATTATGTTATCTTTAACATTTCTAGACTATTTAACTTGTCCAGGCTAGCCTAGAATTTGCAGTCCATTCCTTGTTAGCCTCACTGGGTAGCTGAGATTACAGGTAGAGGCCACCATCCCTGACTTTTGTATTTCTTTAAATAGGTGGTTTACTGGTGGTATTTAATACTTTGAATCCATATTTTCATCTAAGCATTTTCTAGCTCTTTAATTACCTTAACATTCACATTTTTAAATTTATATGTGTGTTGTATGTTTCATGTAAGGTATATGACCTGGTGTCAGAAATTTATTTAGACACGGTCATTGTGGTTTTTATATTGCTGGATCTCTGAGATACACTCTTACTTGTAGCTTTTATGAAAAAGACATTACATAAGCTGGGTGGTGGGGTACTTACCTGTGATCCCATCACAGAGCTGGCTGAGGCA